TGAACTGTATGCAAGGGTTCTAAAGGAATGTAAAGAGGAGCTTAGCACACCTTTGGCTAATCTTTTCAACATATCACTACAAACTGGCATGGTGCCAGATAAGTGGAAAATGGCAAATGTGATACCTATTTTCAAAACAGGTGACAGGTCCTTAGCTTCGAACTATAGACCAATAAGCCTAACCTCCATAGTGGGAAAATTTATGGAATCAATAATTGCCGAGGCAGTTCGTAGCCATCTTGAAAAGCATAAATTAATCAACGAATCTCAGCATGGTTTTACAAAGGGGCGTTCCTGCCTTACGAATTTATTAACTTTTTTCACTAAGGTATTTGAGGAGGTAGATCATGGTAATGAATATGATATTGTGTATATGGACTTCAGTAAGGCTTTTGACAGGGTCCCACATCAGAGACTATTGAGGAAAATTAAAGCACATGGAATAGGAGGAGAAATTTTTTCCTGGACAGAGGCATGGTTGACAAATAGGCAGCAGAGAGTTTGCATAAATGGGGAGAAATCAGAGTGGGGAAGCGTCACGAGCGGTGTTCCACAGGGGTCAGTGTTGGGCCCCCTGCTGTTCACAATCTACATAAACGACATAGATGAGGGCATAAAGAGCGACATCAGCAAGTTTGCCGATGACACCAAAATAGGCCGTCGAATTCATTCTGACGAGGACATTCGAGCACTCCAGGAAGATTTGAATAGACTGATGCAGTGGTCGGAGAAGTGGCAGATGCAGTTTAATATAGACAAATGCAAAGTTCTAAATGTTGGACAGGACAATAACCATGCCACATATAAACTAAATAATGTAGATCTTAATATTACGGATTGCGAAAAAGATTTAGGAGTTCTGGTTAGCAGTAATCTGAAACCAAGACAACAGTGCATAAGTGTTCGCAATAAAGCTAACAGAATCCTTGGCTTCATATCAAGAAGCATAAATAATAGGAGTCCTCAGGTTGTTCTTCAACTCTATACATCCTTGGTTAGGCCTCATTTAGATTATGCTGCACAGTTTTGGTCACCGTATTACAGAATGGATATAAATTCTCTGGAAAATGTACAAAGGAGGATGACAAAGATGATCCCATGTATCAGAAACCTTCCCTATGAGGATAGACTAAGGCCCTGAAACTGCACTCTCTAGAAAGACGTAGAATTAGGGGGATATGATTGAGGTGTATAAATGGAAGACAGGAATAAATAAAGGGGATGTAAATAGTGTGCTGAAAATATCTAGCCTAGACAGGACTCGCAGCAATGGTTTTTAAGTTGGAAAAATTCAGATTCAGGAAGGATATAGGAAAGTACTGGTTGGTAAATAGAGTTGTGGATGAGTGGAACAAACTCCCAAGTACCGTTATAGAGGCCAGAACGTTGTGTAGCTTTAAGGATAGGTTGGATAAATGCATGAGTGGATGTGGGTGGGTGTGAGTTAGACCTGATAGCTTGTGCTAACAGGTGGGTTGCCGTGTTCCTCCCTTAAGTCAATGTGACCTGACCTGACTAGGTTGGGTGCATTGGCTTAAGCCGGTAGGAGACTTGGACCTGCCTCGCATGGGCCAGTAGGCCTTCTGCAGTGTTCCTTCGTTCTTGTGTTCTTGTGTTCTTGTGTATGTCATGGGTATCAGTTATGGTCTGTATAAGTTGCATCATGTACTGCTAGAAATAAAGAACATTAATTAAGATACTGCTAGACTGTAATAAGATAAAATAAGGACTACAACAGAAATAAGTTATTTTGACTTTTTTGTGTTATCTTGGTGGGTAATTTACATTATATATGATTACTCTACTTGTGCCTATATAAACTTATTTATTTAAATAAGCTTATTAATACACTTATTTAACTTATTTACTTAAACTTATTAATATACTTATTTAAATTATTTACTTATTAAATTACGTATTTAACTTATTTATTTATTAATATACTTATTTAACTTATTTACTTATTTACTGGAAATAAGTCACTCTGACTTTTTTGGGTTATCCTAGGTTCTCTACACATATGCTGCTATGTATGATAATTCTATGTAACTGTATTTGTGTATACCTGAATAAACTTACTTACTTACTTAATACACTTATTTAAGTTGTCAAGGGAAAGAGGGCAAGAGTTGCCATGTATTAATTGATTTAAGTGCTCTTGATCCAGGGAACTTGCAGCTACCTTTTATACCCACATATCACACCTCATTAACGCCCATCACCCCTCCTGGAGGTGCACGGCCCGTACAGGTTTACCGTCTGGCCATAAATCACTAAAATAATTGAAGTTGGCACCCTTGTAGAGGTGCGCGCGTGCGCGTGCGCACTCAGGGAAATAACATCAATGGTGGGGAAACTTTGTGTCAGAAATCACTTACAAAGTAACATAAAACATAAACAAAGTACAAAGTACAGTGAATAACGTACAAAGTACAGTGAATAACGTACAGTAAGTAACGTACATAAGACTTGTTAATAGTGTAGGAATACTTGTGAGTGGCGGGTTTATTAATGGTGTCTGGTTTATTGTTATAACTGGTTTATTATAAGATAAGATTTCGTTCGGATTTTTAACCCCGGAGGGTTAGCCACTCAGGATAACCCAAGAAAGTCAGTGCGTCATCGAGGACTGTCTTAACTTATTTCCATTGTGGTCCTTAATCTTGTCCCCCAGGATGCGACCCACACCAGTCGACTAACACCCAGGTACCTATTTGCTGCTAGGTGAACAGGACAACAGGTGTAAGGAAACGTGTCGAAATGTTTCTACCCGCCGGGAATCGAACCCGGGTCCCTCCGTGTGTGAAGCGGGAGCTTTAGCCACCAGGCTAACTGGTTTATTGTTATAACTGGTGTACTATAGCTGGTTTATTGTTATAACTGGTTTATTGTTATAACTGGTTTATTATAACTAGTTTATTTATTATAATTGGTTTATTATAACTGGTTTATATATTATAACTGGTTTATTATAGCTGGTTTATTTCTTATAACTGGTTTATTTGTTATAACTGGTTTATTTATTGTTATAGTTGGTTTATTATCACTGGTTTATTTATTGTTATCACTGGTTTATTTATTGTTATAGCTGGTTTATTGTTATAACTGGTTTATTTATTGTTATAGTTGGTTTATTATTATCACTGGTTTATTTATTGTTATAGCTGGTTTATTGTTATAACTGGTTTATTTATTGTTATAGTTGGTTTATTATTATCACTGGTTTATTTATTGTTATAACTGGTTTATTATCAAGGTTGTACAACATCAAGGTTGTTACCTTGAAGTTGTGATCATTTATGCCCTAAATTTTACTCCATATATCAAGGTTGATTTGTTGTATAATTATTTAGTACAGGTACATGTAAATATAATTATTTAGTACAGGTACATGTAAATATAATTATTTAGTACAGGTACATGTAAATATAATTATTTAGTACAGGTACATGTAAATATAATTATTTAGTACAGGTACATGTAAATATAATTATTTAGTACAGGTACATGTAAATATAATTTTTAGTACAGGTACATGTAAATATAATTTAAATTTAGTACAGGTACATGTAAATATAATTATTTAGTACAGGTACATGTAAATATAATTAATTTAGTACAGTACATGTAAATATAATTATTTAGTACAGGTGCATGTAAATATAATTATTTAGTACAGGTACATGTAAATATAATTATCATATATATAAATTATCCACCAGGATAACACAAGAAAGTTATGAAGGGACAGTCCCCCAGGATGCCACCCACACCAGTCATCGACTAACACCCAGGATGCCATCCACACCAGTCATCGACTAACACATAGGATGCCACCCACGCCAGTCATTGACTAACACCCAGGATGCCACTCACACCAGTCATTGACTAACACACAGGATGCCACCCACACCAGTCGACTAACACATAGGATGCCACCCACGCCAGTCATTGACTAACACCCAGGATGCCACTCACACCAGTCATTGACTAACACACAGGATGCCACCCACACCAGTCATCGACTAACACCCAGGATGCCACCCACACCAGTCATCGACTAACACCCAGGATGCCACCCACACCAGTCATTGACTAACACCCAGGATGCCACCCACACCAGTCCACTAACACCCAGGATGCCACCCACACCAGTCCACTAACACCCAGGATGCCACCCACACCAGTCCACTAACACCCAGGATGCCACCCACACCAATCCACTAAAGCACAGGTACCCATTTAACTGATGGGTGAACATAGACAACCGGTGTAAAGAAACACGTTTAATGTTTCAACCTTGGCGGGGAATCAAACCTGGACCCTCACTGTGTGAAACCACCTGTTACCACCATGACACGGGGCACTGTGCCTAAGTTGTCCTAGTTAATCTCCACACTACTGTAAGTTTATTTACTTACAAGTACACATAAATACAGTTACACAAATTAGCATACAATGTTTGAAGCTAGCATTATAGGTGACCTTAAAAATAGGCTGAAAATTGTCTAGATTTAAGTAGTTATTATGTACTAGGATTAGTCTGCCCGAAATGCCCCAGCATGATAGTGACTTTCTTTGTACTTACCAAACCAAAATTGTAATTACACGTAAGTAAGTAATTATTCAGGTATACACAAATACGGTTACATAGATTATCATACAAGACTGTTCAACTGCCTCCCAGCATACATAAGGGGGATTACCAATAGACCCCTGGCTGTCTTCAAGACCCCTGGTTGTCTTCAAGACCCCTGGCTGTCTTCAAGACCCCTGGTTGTCTTCAAGACCCCTGGCTGTCTTCAAGACCCCTGGTTGTCTTCAAGACCCCTGGCTGTCTTCAAGACCCCTGGTTGTCTTCAAGACCCCTGGCTGTCTTCAAGACCCCTGGTTGTCTTCAAGACCCCTGGTTGTCTTCAAGACCCTGGTTGTCTTCAAGACCCCTGGTTTGTCTTCAAGACCCCTGGTTGTCTTCAAGACCCCTGGTTGTCTTCAAGACCCCTGGCTGTCTTCAAGACCCCTGGTTGTCTTCAAGACCCCTGGCTGTCTTCAAGACCCCTGGTTGTCTTCAAGACCCCTGGCTGTCTTCAAGACCCCTGGTTGTCTTCAAGCAGGCACTGGACAGGCACCTAAAGTCAGTACCTGACCAGCCGGGCTGTGGTTGGTACATTGGACTGTGTGCGGCTAGTAATAACAGCCTGGTTGATCAGGCCCTGGTCCACCATGAGGCCTGGTCACAGAACGGGCCACGAGGGCGTTGACCCCCGGAACTATCTCCAGGTATACTCCAGGTATACACAGCAGCATATGTGTAGAGAACCTGGGATAACCTAAAAAAGTCAGTGACTTATTTCCATTGGCCAGTAGGCCTGCTGCAGTGCTCCTCCAATCTTATATTCATACGTTTCTGTACAGTAGAACCCGCATATGCAGAGATTCGGTTTCTACAGTTTCGGTTATCCACGGTTTACCGTGGCCTGAACATATCCTTAATTTAGCTTAATAATGTTGGTAAGACATGACAGTAGTGATGGTGGCAGTTGTTCAGAGTCTAAGACAAGCCATCAAGTGCTTCTCATTAGTAAAAAAGTGATAATTCTCCACTTACTGTGTGTAATTTATCAATTAAACTTCATCATAGGTATGTACGTAAGTGAGAAACAACTTAGTCGTATCCTGAGTTTCAAACTTTCTTCATTCCAGAAGGCTGTTCAAGTGCCGTTACTGAATGAATTTGTTCCCATAAGGAATAATGTAAATTAGATTAGTCAGTTTCAAACCCCAAAAATACACTTACAGAGGCACGGACAATAATACACTTATATAATTGGTCGAGTTGGGAGCTGTTCAAAACTCGGGGTACCACTGTATGTGCATATGGTTGGGTACTATCTGTGGTTTTGTGCATCCATGGTAGGTCTTGGAAGATATCCCTCATGGGTATAGGGAGACTACTGTAGTCTTATCATTACAGGCCTATCAGAATGTGGGAGCCAAGATACAAGAGGACCTATCAGAAGCACCGGTGATCATAGGGGTGAAGCAGGTGCCCATTGATCAGCTTATACCAAACAGAACATACTGTTTCTTCTCTCACACTATTAAAGCCCAGGAAGCCAACATGCCGCTCCTTGATGCTATTTTAGAGAAGGTAAGATCAGATAATATTTGTTAGCGTTTTTTTACCTGGGGAGGGTTATCCACCCAGGATAACCTGGGGTGGGGAGGGTTAGCCACCTGGGATAACCTGGGGTGGGGAGGGTTAGCTACCCAGGATAACCCAGGATAGGGAGAGTTAGCCACCCAGGATAACCCAGGGTAGGGAGTGTTAGCCAGCCAGGATAATCCAGGGTAAGGAGAGTTAGCTACCCAGGATAACCCAGGGTAGGGAGTGTTAGCTACCCAGGATAACCCAGGATAGGGAGAATTAGCCACCCAGGATAACCCAGGGTAGGGAGTGTTAGCCAGCCAGGACAATCCAGGGTAAGGAGAGTTAGCTACCCAGGATAACCCAGGGTAGGGAGTGTTAGCCACCCAGGATAACCGAGGGTAGGGAGAGTTATCCACCCAGGATAAGGAGTGTTAGCCAGCCAGGATAATCCAGGGTAAGGAGAGTTAGCTACCCAGGATAAGCCAGGGTAGGGAGGGTTAGCCACCCAGGATAACCCAGTGTAGGGAGAGTTAGCCACCCAGGATAACCCAGGGTAGGGAGAGTTAGCCACCCAGGATAACCCAAGAAAGTCAGTGGGTCATCGAGGACTGTTTGTCTTACATATTTCCATTGTGGTTCTTCAATCTTGTCCCCCAGGATGCCACCCACACTGGTCACTGCTAGGTGAACAGTGACAGCAGGTTTAAGGTGACTAACACCCAGGTACCTACTTACTGCTAGGTGAACAGTGACAGCAGGTGTCTTAAGGAAACACGACCTACTGTTTCCGCCCGTACCGCGAATCAACTCCCGGACCTCAGTGTGTGAGCTGAGAAATTCACAGTATTTTGTGTTTTCAGAACATCCGGTTGCTGGACTATGAGCGTATGTGTGACAGGCAAGGCCAGCATGTGGTGGCGTTTGGCAAGTATACTGGAGTTGCTGGCATGATCAACATTCTTAATGGGCTTGGTCTTTGTCTCCTAATACTTGGGCATCACACACCCTTCATGATATGCTACTACTTGGGCATCACACACCCTTTGTGGTATGTTCCTAGCACTTGGGCATCACACACCCTTCATGGTATGCCATTACAAATACCCCTGCATGATGGGCAATACTCTACTGGCAGTAGTGTACTGACAATAAGTTCTGTCAGTCTTATTATCAGTAACTGCTATAATAATACAAATAATTAGTATAATCAGTAAATATTGAATCAGTTGATTCCTACAGCACATTGGACCCGCCCATAATTACCGCAACACAGAGATGGCAAGACAGTCAATTCGTGACACCGGCTATGAAATTTCGCTGGGCATGATGCCGAAATCCATTGGTTCTCTGATGTTCATCTTCACCGGCACTGGGAACGTGTCACAGGGGGCCCAGGAGATAGTTCAGGAGCTGCCCCGTGAGTATGTCTCTGTGAAGGCGTTGAAGAAAGTCACTGAACATGGAGGTAAGTCATTAGATGAATCTGAAACTCCTGAACGAAAGGACCGGATAGGGATTCAAACTGCTGTACATGGGGTGAGTAATGATGAGTGACCTAACTGGTCACACCTCCACCACTAACTGGTCACACCACCACCACTAACTGGTCACACCTCCACCACTAACTGGTCACACCTCCACCACTAACTGGTCACAGACTGTACCATGATTACTGGATGAAGGTTCAGACCTACACCACTAACCGGGCACAGACAAAGTTAAATGTTTATTTCAGCTTAATACAATGTTTGTACAGAGATGGTTGACATGATACAATGTTTGTACAGTGATGGGTGACATGATACAATGTACAGTGATGGGTGACATGATACAATGTACAGTGATGGGTGACATGATAGTGCTTGTACAGTGATGATTGACATGATAGTGCTTGTACAGTGATGGGTGACATGATATAATGTAGTGATGGGTGATATGATACAATGTTTGTACAGTGATGGGTGACATGATACAGTGCTTGTACAATGATGGGTGACATGATACAATGTTTGTACAGTGATGGGTGACATGATACAATGTACAGTGATGGTTGACATGATACAATGTGTGTACAGTGATGGTTGACATGATGCAATGTGTGTACAGTGATGGTTGACATGATACAGTGCTTGTACAATGATGATTGGCATGATAGTGATTGTACAGTGATGGGTGACATGATACAGTGCTTGTACAGTGATGGTTGACATGATAGTGCTTGTACAGTGATGGGTGACATGATACAGTGCTTGTACAATGATGGGTGACATGATAAGTAAGTAAGTAAGTAAGTTTATTCAGGTATACACAAATACAGTTACATAGAATTATCATACATAGCAGCATATGTGTAGAGAACCTGGGATAACCCAAAAAAGTCAGAGTGACTTATTTCCATTGGGGTCCTTTGATACAGTGCTTGTACAGTGATGGTTAACATGTTACAGTGCTTGTACAGTGATGGGTGACATTTAGGTGTGCAAGCAGGAAGCTCATAGTCATGCAGAGCATTTTGGGTTCAATTTACAATATTTTGACTTTACAACAGTTCGACTTACGAGAGTTCAACTTTACGATGGTGTAGCAGCAATTACTTTGGAGATGAAACTTAAGATAATTACACGACATGAAGGTAACTTGTATTCATTCATTTACTTTTTAATACTGGTACAGCCTCTCCTCACTTAACGATGGAGTTCCATTCATGAGACCACGTCATTAAACAAATTCGTCGCTAAGTGAGGAGCATATTATAATGGTAGTGGGTTTGTGTCAACCAATACAGCAGTGTACTGTATATTGTAATAAACAGAAGAGAGGAAATCAGCTCTAATATACATTATTTAGGTATGAATACTGGTCAGAGAGCCCATTGTAAGTCCAAGGCATCGGTAAAGGAGTACGTCGCTAAGTGAGGAGAGGCTGTATTTAGTTAGTTACAGTAATTATTTGTTTATTTACTGATTGAATGACAGTAGTTATTAACCCTTTGACTGTTTCAGGCCCCTCTCTGAAACTGTCATTCTATGTCGCTCAATTTTTGAAAAAAAAAAAATTATTTTTTCTTATGAAATGATAGAGAATCTTTTCCCGATGGTAATGACACCAAAAGTTCGAAATTTGGTCGAAAACTCGTGGAATTATGCTCCCGCGAAGTTAGCGGTCTCGGCGACATATGCGTATCGGCGATTTCGCCGACTTTGAGCCCTATTTTCAGCCAATTCCATTGTTCCAGTTGACCAAACTCATAGCTATTTCTTTAGAACTCCATTTTATCTATCAGCTGAGTACAAGAAACCTCCAATTTACTAATTTGGACTACCCAATATGATGGTCAGAAATTGGCAATTTGGCCAATTTCACACAAACTAAAAAAGAAGCCAATTTCAAAATAGGGTCCAGAATAAACAAGATAGACATTCGTGGCACTAAAATAACATATGCTCTGTTCATTAGTCACATCTCTAGGCCCCTCTTATATTATTATTGCTTTCTATTTTGATTTTTTATTCATACAAAAAAATACAAAATTTACTGTTATGCAGACGACTGCATTATTGTAAAAATGGTATAAATAATATCAGTGCACTAGTGAAAGAATATTAGACTCCCCAGTTGACGTGTATTGGACGTGTGGTGTGATTTATTTACTCTTGAACATTGGTAAAAATCGAACATTTCCACTACTTTGAGCTCAGTTTCAAGGTCGTTTTCATCGTAAAAGTAATGAAAATCATCTCTATTTCTGTAATATGTTTTCCATTTTATCACCTAAGACCATGAAAACGCGAATACAACGATAAATACTATACGAAAATACACCTCAAAGTCGGCGTTTTATTCCAAAAAAACGATCAGAGTTTTTTTTTTCTCATTACGCAATGTGTGCTGCAGGATTTTTTTTAATGTGGTGCACACTGACCACACAGACGCATTCTCTCACATGTGGGCCTACCAGCTTTCTCCTGCTTGATTTGAAGCCGCTAGAATTATTGAGTATATATACGTCAGAAACATTGGCTCGTAAGACGTATTTATACGTCGAAAACAGTCAAAGGGTTAATTTGTTATTTATTTAGCATAACATATTTATATTCTCCTATGACATTTTCAACTTACGATGGGTTCGTTAGAACATAATCCCATCGTAAGTCAAGGAGCACCTTCCTGTGCCTTTAACAGTGATGTTTCTACTGTTGGTGCAATTCTAAACTTTTGATCATGTTGGTGCTTGAAAATAAAGAATGAGCGAGTGTTTTGGTTGTAAGAATTGTTTAGCATGACAGATAATAATAATAATAATAATAATAATACATAATAATAATAATAATAATAATAATAATCTTTATTTCTGCAAGTTCATGTACAGTAAATCCTTGACTTAAAAACACCTCGAGAATCTCTGTATTGTCTATAATTTCTTTAAAAGGAAGTCTTAATTTGAACACATTGGGGACTTTCTTATTGTGTATAATAATGAATTAAACACAATACAGCAGCCCTCCATTTTTTCCCGAGCTTCAAATATCACAAATGCCCCAGCCGCCCAATCATAACTTATATACATATTTTTTAAGTTTTCATGTGTTTTATGATTGTTCATGGTTCGGTGGGGTTAAGGAAGCAATGTTTTAGGCTAAGAAAATGCTATTATTGTATTTCGCTGCAATATATTTGCGCATCAAAATTAGCGAGAAAATAAGATTATTATTTTCCCTACATCATTTTAGCACCAACATTTGCGAATTTTTCAAGACGCAGTTCTTGATCCCCAACCCTTGTGAATAGGGGGGGCCCCTGTAATGATAGTACACAAGATTCTCAATATTTTTTGAAATCAAGGACTAACTGTACAATTTTAAAGAAACCATAACTGAAAACAGTGACATACTACTATGTATAAAAAAAACCCTTTGTTATGCAGAGCATTTCCTGAACTTGGGTTTTTTTGCATTTTGGGGCTATTAGACGCATATTTTTTCCAAAAAAATTCTCCAGAACCACCCTGCACCTAAAAAGATGGCATGACTGGGCGGGTTATTTGTTTTTTTCCATCACGGTATTTTTGCCCTTTTTTTTTTTTTTGGGGGTGGGGGGACTGTAGCCTCCATTATTCCGATGCTGAACCTTGAACTAAAAAAAATCATAATTGTGAAATACAGTAATTTTGTCCCCCCGGAGCGACCCACAAGTTGGATTACGGGGGAAGGGCCAAACCTCCATCATAAATGGTTAAACCCGCATGTTTTTTTCTCCTGGGGGGATTTAGTTATTTTCTTTCTGTGAGCAGCGACCAACAAAATTTATTCTTGGAGGCAAGCCGTTGCGATACTTGGTCGAAAGACAGTGTGTAGGATGCGTAGATATGAAGAACATCTGAGGATGATCTCTGTCTTTGCTACAAGGGCAGTATTTTTTTTCACAAGGTCATTGTCCTGCTCACCCAAGGGCCTTTTTCTTGCTCGATGGGCATTGCCCGGTTTCAAGGTTATTGTTCTGCTCACATGACATCTTCGGCCACTATTCTACTAGGCTGGAATTTGCTGCACCTAAAAGCACCTTTCAAGGCAGATGAAATTGCTGACCTAGAAAATGTACAGAGAACCTTCACGGCACACATAACTGAGATAAAACACCTCAATTACTGGGAGCGCTTGAAGTTCCTGAACCTGTATTCCCTAGAACACAGGCGAGAGAGATACATAATTATATACACTCGGAAAATTCTAGAGGGATTAGTACCAAACTTGCACACGAAAATCACTCCCTACGAAAGCAAAAGACTCGGCAGATGATGCATCATCCCCCCAATGAAAAGCAGGGGTGTCACTAGCACGTTAAGAGACAACACAATAAGTGTCAGGGGCCCAAGTCTGTTCAACTGCCTCCCAGCATACATAAGGGAGATTACCAATAAACCCCTCGCTGTCTTCAAGCAGACTGGACAGGCACCTAAAGTCAGTACCTGACAAGCCGGGCTGTAGTTCATATGTTGGATTGCGTGCGGCCAGCAGTATCAGCCTGGTTGATCAGGCCATGATCCACCATGAGGCCTGGTCACAGACTGGGCCGCAGGGGTGTTGAACCCCAGAGCTCTCTCCAGGTAAACATGGCCAGTGTTCTGCTCACAAGGTCATTGTCCTGCATACAAGGTCATTGTCCTGCTCACCAAATTAGTTTCTTATCATAATGTCATTTTCTTGGTCATAAGAACAGTTTTCTTGATTGTTTCAGACAGCCAAAAGTATTAACAAAAAATATTTTTTTAAAGATTAAATATAAATACAGAAAACAATGACAAATAAATATAAAGCACTAATAAAATGGATAAATGAATGTTTAACATCAAACTTACCTTTATTGACTCTTGTTGGTGTATGGCAGACAGGTTAAGATAAGATAAGATAAGATTTCGTTCAGATTTTTAACCCCGGAGGGTTAGCCACCCAGGATAACCCAAGAAAATCAGTGCGTCATCGAGGACTGTCTAACTTATTTCCATTGGGGTCCTCAATCTTGTCCCCCAGGATGCGACCCACACCAGTCGACTAACACCCAGGTACCTATTTGCTGCTAGGTGAACAGGACAACAGGTGTAAAGAAACGTGTCGAAATGTTTCCACCCACCGGGAATCGAACCCGGGCCCTCCGTGTGTGAAGCGGGAGCTTCACACATGGATATTTCCCTAGACTGGATACTTCCCTAGACCCTTCCTGGTCAAGAGGAAGGTATGAACTGAACAATATAAGGCTTTACCAGCCAACTTTGACTCGGTCGGAGCGGGGATTGAGCAGCCACCGGGCCAGAGGAAGGCAAGTTTATTATGCTTCAATATGACGCTAATATTATCTCCACGGCTTATTTATCTATCACAATTCATCTAATATGACATAATAAATACTATTAATAACATAGAAACATGATATATATTCTAACATGAATAAAATATACATAATGTATGTGAGGGGTAAGTGGTGGAATTATTGTTGTTGGGTTTATAATGGCCACTGAGAGACGCCGTACATGGTGGTGGTGGAGGTGAGGCGGCAGCAGAACCTACCACCACTATTACACTTAATGTACGTAATTTATAAATAAGAAATATTTACATTTTAATTTATAAATAAAGAAATATTTACATTGTAAGTTATAAATAAGTTTATTCAGGCGTACACAAATACAGTGGACCCCCGCATAACGATTACCTCCAAATGCGACCAATTATGTAAGTGTATTTATGTAAGTGCGTTTGTACGTGTATGTTTGGGGGTCTGAAATGGACTAATCTAATTCACAATATTCCTTATGGGAACAAATTCGGTCAGTACTGGCACCTGAACATACTTCTGGAATGAAAAAAAATCGTTAATCGGGGGTCCACTGTAGTTACGTACGTAGATTATCTTACATAGCACCTTGTGTGTAAAGTACCTAGGATAACCCAAAAAAGTCAGAGTGACTTACTCATTTCTGTTGGGGTCCTTTTATATTTACACTTACATTTACTTTTATCTCCATGGGGAAGTGGAACAGAATTCTTCCTCCGTAAGCCATGCGTGTTGTAAGAGGCGACTAAAATGCCAGGAGCAAGGGGCTAGTAACCCCTTCTCCTGTATAAATTACTAAATTTAAAAAGAGAAACTTTCGTTTTTCTTTTTGGGTCACCCTGCCTTGGTGGGATACGGCCGGTTGGTTGAGGAAAAAAAATTTACTTTTATACTCACACTTATATTTACACTTACCTTGGAGGAGATGTTTGTTTAATTAGTTCGATGGAGGAGATGCTGGCAGAGGTTTAGGGTGGTGGAAGATACGTAGCAGGGCGGCATATGTTCAGCGGTTCTATACACATCCAACAACATTGGAGAGTTACTTTCATATCGTTTTTCTGTCGCTTACTCGCTTAACTTATTTGCTACACTGTTAATTCTACACTTTATCACTGGCTGGCACTATAGCCTTTATCGATACCTGCTGCTTTAGTATCGTACGTATCGTAGAATCACTGAATCACTGCAGAAGGCACATTCTCCTCTCTCTTCCTCCTCCACTTTGGTACTTTGCTACGAGTTTTTTTTTTTTTAATTCGCTTGTGCTTCTTTCCTTCTTTACCACAGGGCTGGCACTAGAAGCTTTCTTTGGGCCCATGGTGGTATATTTAGCAGTTACAAGCACTAACAACAATGGAATAATACAAAATATATCACATGTATGCGTGGAATCATCCTCACTGGCTTGTAAACAATGGCACACTACATGGAGTGGACGGGTGGCCGTGGCTCAGGCCGCGTGGACACGTTTGGGACGAATGCCCTTAACCGAGTTCTTGGGCGTTAGCCTAGCCAATATTTTGATGCAAAAAGTGCCGCTAACTGATTTTGCCATTAGCCAATGCGGCCATTAACTGAGCATCCACTGTACTTGTAGTAGTCACTGACAATTATATAGCACTTGTAGTAGCCCCTGATAGTTATATAGTTTTAGTTTTAGTGATCTACTGTATCAAATGCTTTCCATAGGTCTGTGAAGAGCCCCAGAGGACATTCATTTTTTCAGTTGCTGTACAGTATATAGTAATTCGAGCATCTGAGGTAGTACAATTTATGATACAATCTTACATTTTTAAATTCGTAATTAGTTCTTTTACAGTGGTAAAATACAAATATTCTATATTTTACTCTATTATTAGCCCTTTGGAGGTTTCGGACGTACTAGTACGTCTTACGACTCAGGGTTTTTGATATACTAGTACGCCTAAATTCTAATGCCCTCAAATCTAGTGAGAGAAAGCTGGTAGGCCTACATATGAAAGAATGGGTCTATGTGGTCAGTGTGCACAGTATAAAAAAATCCTGCAGCACACAGTGCATAATGAGAAAAAAAACTTTGACCATGTTTTTGGATTAAAACAGCGACTTTGCACTGTATTTTCGTATGGTATTTATTGTTGTATTCTAGTTTTCTTGGTCTCATTTTATAGAATGGAAGACATATTACAGAAATTGAGATGATTTTGACTGGTTTTACAATGAAAAGTACCTTGAAATTGAGCTCAAAGTAGCAGAAATATTCGATTTTTACCAAATTTCAAAAGTAAACAAATCATGCCAAGCATCCAATACACATCAACTGGTGAGTCTAATATTCTTTCACAAGTGCGCTGATATTTTTATACCATTTCTACACTAATGCAGTAAATCTTATTTTTTTTTGTAAGAATAAAAATTCAAAGTGGAAAGCCAAAGAAATATAAGAGGGGCCTGGGGATGTGACTAACGAACAGAGAACTTGTTATTTTAGTGCCAGGAATGTCTTTCTTGTTTATTCTGGACCCTATTTGGAAATTGGCATCTTTTGAAATTTGTGT